GAGAGAGTACAAGAAGCAGGTAAAAGGAAAGATTGGATGGAAAGAAATTAAGTTGTGCTGGTTTCTTAAAGCTCCAGTCTCCTGAACTAATTCAGATCTTGAAAATGTAATCTGAAGTGACTGTGTGACTTAAATGCACCAATAGGTGCAGTAGCTGGGTATGAAAAATGTCTTGTTTTTAAATTCTGTGGTTGATAAAACTAATACTTAAAATAAAAAGATCAGAAATTTAGGGGGCTGAAATGGCAGGAGTTTGCGTGAGGTAAGGCTGGAGAAGGAAGTATCAGTTGGAAGGAGGGAATGAGGATTTGCACAAGATAAGAATTACATAGATAAGCACTCAAAGGAGTAGGGACTAGGACTGGCCGGGTGGCTGAGGAAAATCAGGTTGTGCTGAGGTGTTAGTGCAAGGGCAGGTCCACTTTGGGCAGAAGTACTGGTCAACGAGGACATGGCTTTCTCAGCCTGACATTGGACTGGGCATTTTACAGTTGATGCACTCAGTGGTTGACATCAGGTATTTACAGTCTGTCCAAGAAATTCCCAATCTTCTATATTTGCAGAGAGTAATCCTGTTTTTAATTACTTAAATCATGCAGCACATTGAGGTTCCTGGATATCTGATGGTTCCAGCCATGCTGGTGCTTTATGTTGGTGTCTGTATATTACCACCTATTGGAACTTGTCTTTGTGGCTTTTTTTCTGTTTCTTAATATTAAAACCCAAAAATAACCTGGGAAGAATGTATTTTAACTTAATTATCTTCATGAAATATTAAGTATAGAAAATAAGTTATGCCAGTTTAGGTTTACTTATTCTTGTAGAGTATTAAAAGTTTTCGCTGTTTGTAACCTCTAGAATATATGTCATGCAACGTAGAAATTTGATAGCACTCACTTAAATGCCACTTTTTCTTTGAGCATGTGGTTTAACTTCAAAATTGAGTGTTTTATTTCTCTGGAGCAGTGAGTATAAGTGCTTCACAGGTTTTCTCACTATTTAGACGAATTGGCATTTGCTCCGTTTTTGCAGTGAGTGTAAGGTAAATGATTCAAAGCAATTCTTTGTGTTCCTTGTGATCTCAGGTCTGATCTCTTCAGAAATACTATAAGTAGTGTTTTGACATATGAAGTGCAGTCCTGTTGGCGTCAGTTCTATGCACTGTAGGTATTCAGAACAATTTGAAGTCTAGCAGCCTATACCTGAGCACCCAGACCATGAAGAGCTTTTATCTTTCCATGCTGAGGATGGTTCTAGCATTAAGAGAAGCTCTCAGTGAACGAGTACAGGAGACACATGGATCTCCAGGCTAGTAATTGCCTCCTTCACCTATGAGGTTACTCTTCTTTTACTGTGATTTCTGGTTAACTTCTTGACTCTTTTCCCCTGTGGAAGAGATCAGGCCATGAACTTCTGTTGAAGTCCAGGCTGTAATTGAGGTTTTCTGAGAGCAGAATTTGAATGCTATTTGACATGGTGGAGTTCAATTTGTGTAATTCAATACAATTACAATTTTGTAGTAGGTAATGAAACTTTAATAGAGCTGATATTGAATGTCCTGAGTCATTCAGGTTTTTTTTGAAAGCTGCTGCTGCTTTTGCAAGCAATAACAATATTTGACAGAAGTATAGCAACTGTTAATTCAAAATGAGAATGGAGATCTGATGGAGGGCTTCTTACTCTACTCACTGTGTATTTAAACATACAATTTATTTCTAATACTAAGACTTTCGATGTAGTAAGCTTATTTCGTTCAGCGTATGTTTCCTGTTGTTTGTCAGTGTTAGAATGTCACAACTGTGTGAAGACAACTGAGAAACTTTTCCCCCCATGGTCTCCTCTAAAACACTCAGGCAAAAAAGGCTTTCTTTCATCAACTATTTATTATTATTTGCATATTGTATTTCTAAATATAAATTGCCTTTCTGGATTTGACTTGACTACTCTTTCCTGCTTTTTGAATCTGATGCTGTTCTGCTGCTTTCTTTCCTGCTTTTTTGGAAATCTGCTGCTTGGCAGTCTCATGAGTCCGATCCGATATTCTAGTTATTTAAATAACTGCATTTATTGTCCTTTGCAGGCACGCTCAAGCTAAGTTACTTGGTTAGTAGTGCACTCTTCACAGAAGTTTAGTGTTGAAATGTACTTTTTAAGCAGATAATGTAACTTAAAGTACTGAGTGCTATTTGAGGTTTAATAATGTAGACATACTGTTTCACTGTGTGGCTGATGTAGCTATCACTAGTTTTGTATGTGTATATTTTTATGTGTGGGAGAGGGGATGATAGCAGAGCATTTGTGGAAGAGGTACCATACTGTAAATATGAACAAAGAACAGCGTATTTTCTGCTCTGCTAATTCACACTAACATATAAAGGTGAGAATGAGTGTACTGGGTCAGGTTAGGATAGAGTTAATATTTTTACATATGGTGCTGTGTTTCAGATTTGTGACCAGAACAGTGCTGGTAAGGCACCAGTGTCAGCTGTAACTGAACAGTGCTTGCATAGCACCAAGACAGCCTTTGTTTCACACTCTGCTTCCACCTGAAGGCTGGGGTTGGGCAAGAGGTTGGGAGGGGACACAGCCATGACAGCTGATCCCAGCTGACCAAAGAGATATTCCATACTGTAGAGATATTCCATACTGTATTGTATCATGGTTGGTGATAACGTTGGTGGTGCTGGTAGTGGTGTTGGGGATGTTCCAAGGTTGTTCAGAGGCTGGCTGGGCATTTGTCTGCTGGTGGGAAGTTGTGAGTGATTGCCTTTGCATCAGTTTTGGGGTTTTGTTGCTTTTTTTTTTTCCCCCCTTTTTTTTCTCTACCTCTTCTCCCCACTTTTTAAACTGTCTTTTCCTTTACACCCTCAAGTTTTACTTGCTTGTGCCTTTCTCAATCTCTAACCCATCCCACAGTGAGCTAAGTTTTCAGCTGTGTACAGCTTTCCACCATCCTGTATGTTGAATTATGAAATTGTCTTATTTGTATTAACTTTGTTTGAAGTTAATCTTTTTTGTTCTTATCCTGATAAGTTTTGTAAACTAATGCCTAATTCAAATGTGAAATTTAATTCTTCCCTTTTTTAATGATCTTTTTATTAATTGTTTCAAATGATGAAAATGATGTAGTTGAATTTTGACAGCAAGCATTCTCTCCCCCCCCTCCATTGTTTTTGTTGTTCATCTGCATAATATTTTGTGCCAGTCATTTAATGAAAGAGTGGATTATAATGAATTAGTCTATAAGTTTATGCAGGATCTGGTGATATTTTAGTTGGAACAGTGCATTCAAGACTAAGACGGTAACTAAAAAATATGGCAAACTTGGGGAGACTGCCACCAGGGTGTCTTTATTGAAATCACTAATAATAGTATGAATCAAATATAGAAAAGCTGATTTTGTATTGCATGTAACAGTGTTTTGTATACGTCTATAGAAAGGGTGATTCTTGCTCAGTCACCATTAAAATATTGATTTGCATCTAACTGTATGCTTTAGTCAAATGTGGTAGCATTTTATGTGACCACAAGGGTAGTTTTTATTTATGCTTATGCAGATGAATTTGATTAAAATATGCAACTTTTTTTTTAATTTTTGAAGCAATGATTTACTTGTCTTAAGCTTTTTTAAATAATATTTTTTTTAATTACCTCATTAATAAGTTTGTGAATAAAAATAATGGAAAAAACAGACTTGTTCTCATTTGCTATATCCTTCAGGATTTTAGTGTTGATAGATATTCTGCTCTTTTTTTTTTTTCCTAGGTGTAAATAAGTTGACTGCAGCCATTAAGAAAATACTGTTCTTGCATCTGTAGATTAAGTTATTGCTGTCAGGACTAATCTAATGTTTAACAGATGCCGATTCTAAGAATTTAGATTATATTTTTCAATATCTTAATAATTTGTATATCTGCTATAGTATAGATTAAGTCATTGTACTTTAAAAAAACAGACAAGTATTTCATGTAGAGGTTTTAAATATATCTGTCTTTAAAGGAAATATTAATGTAAGTGTATAGAAATGTAAATACTTATGTTCTTTCCTGGTTTTTATCAACTCCAGTTTGTTGTCTAATGTTGGAACTAGACTGTGGAAGCTAAGGAAATATATATATCTATACATAAGAGTTATAAGTAGTAAATAGTATGTTACAGCTATTTTGTATATTTGATATACATATAAAATACTGTACACTTGTTTTGCACATTTATGTAAATACAAATGTAACCATACTAAATAAGTGGATTTATTAATTTTCAAGAAAACCTTTCTTTCATTCATTCTGATGTTCTGAAGATGCAAACCCCTTAAATTAATGCACAGAAACAACATAGTGGAACCAGGCCTCACATGGAATAAGTACAATTTTTCTTCATACGAAGTTAGTGTGATCCATGGTAGCGAGCTCTTCTGCAGAACCAAGCCTGCCTGTCTCTAGCACAGATAAATGTTTCATTGTTGAAAATGCTTCCTCAACCTAAACCTCAAGCAGTCTTTCTTATTGTATAGTTCATTGGAGGAAAAAATTACACTTTTTCTTAATTTTACCAGTTTAGGTAGAAGGTAAACCAGAGGTGCTTTTGGAATTGTGGGACAGTTTCCTCAGCTTCATTTTTCTGAAATGCTTTTCCTGTTCCTGAAGGTGTTCGAGGTACTTCTGGGTAGGGAAAAACAAGTTACAGAAAGCTCTTTTTTTCTGTTTTGCTTTTTGGTGTGTGGTATTGGAGTCCAGTGGTCAGCATTACAGGGTACAGTTTTATTCCCTTCTCTATTGAGAGCTTTTTTTCCTTATAAGTCAATAGTATGACAGATGGAGTTTTAGACTCTTTTAATCTAGGTTTATAAGAAGTTCAGAATGGAATTAAGCCATTTTGGAGACACAGAGATGGATGTTTACAGGCTTTTTTAGTGAAAACAAATATTTTTTAGATCAAAACAAAAGCTGAGTTTTATATGATATAATTATATAGGTATTGACTTGATGCTTATATATGTATTCATACAGTTACAGACCTGTTTTCTCTTCTAGGATCCTTCGGTTACACAAGTGACAAGAAATGTTCCTCCAGGGCTAGATGAGTACAATCCTTTCTCTGATTCGAGAACAGTAAGCATATTAATTTCTTAATCATGCTGTTAATCTTTTTAGGTAAGATTTTTGATGTATTGTTTTCAGAGTTTGGGACTGTGACGGGCTCACTAGAGGTAATGTAAGATGTGTAAGGACAGATAGTCCCATAAAGTATTTAGAGGATTGAGTGGCTAGGTTGACTGAAGTGAGTTTTGGCCTTCTAAGGAAGAGTGTGTCTCTGAAAGGGTGTCAAACCAGAATTTAGTTTTTCCCCTGTTCAGTAAGACTTGTGGTAGTCTATCCTTATGCTTTTCTGAATTTTACTTGCTTTAAAGCTTGTGAATGTGGCACACTTCCCCAGTGTTTTGCTTTTGACTTCCATTTCACTTAATGAAGGTGCCACTCAGCATAAGAAAAAATTGCATTTAAGTAAGAGTCCACAGGCTATGAGTAGTTTTGCTGTAGTAAAAGGAATAATTTATGTCCAAGAAACACAGTTGCTTTTTGCCTCTAATGTGTTTAGTTTTATTTTACCTTGTGCTTATTTTCACCCATGGCGGAGAGAAAATACAGTGAATGGGGTAGTAAATTCATACAGAAACAGCATTTTTCAGTGGTTACTTTTGATAGTAATGATCTTGTACAAGATTAGCAAGATGTATGGATGATTGTTGTCTGTCAGTATAACTTACAAACATACAAATATTGTATTTTTCAAAAGTAGGCTTATTTCCTATGGTAAATGCTGATAAGGAATGTTGGTATTTCATAGAATCATAGAATCATTCAGGTTGGAAAAGACCCTTGGGATCATCAAGTCCAACCATTAGCCCTACTCTACAAAGTTCTCCCCTACACCATATCCCCCAACATCTCATCTAAATGACCCTTAAACATTTGAGTCTCTGCAATGCAACTGTAAGGTTTCATACAGTGTTAAAATCCTAGACTGGAAGAAGCTTGGTTTTGAGTATGCCTTGGATCAACTTATTAAGGCAGAATATTTACAGCTAGCAACAGTATTAAGTCCCCAAAATTTTTTTCTCCTAAGACAATATGATGAATTATGCTTGATGTATCTTCCTGAAGCTTGAAGAGTCTCAGAATTGCTTTGTATTGACCATAAATTATAAAGACAGTAAGTCTTGTTAAAAGAAAGAAAAAATCTAAAGCTACTCTGACTTTTTTATTACTTATGTACTTATTTTAACACATAGCTCAGTGGGCAAAGTAAAACAAGTATATAGCTAAGGTTGTCTGGCTTTGAACAGTCAGCTGTGCATGTATAAAGTGTTCTAATTGCTCATTACAGATGTCACTCATACAGAAAAATTGGGAGGATGGAGGAAATCTTTAAGTCAATGTTCATATCTACTGAGTATGTGCTATATTCATGCACTGTCATTCAATTAAGTGTGAATTTTCTAACATCCCATAGATAAAAACTGTTTATTGAATGAGCAGATAGTTTTCTTTCTGTAGAGGAAAAGAACTTTCACAGGTATTTTTGCAAAAAGCAAGACTGAAGGAATAAAGTATGTATTCAGCTAAGAGTGCAATAATAACCTTTAGATGATGCTCCCCTTCCTCTCTGTGTACCTTGTGGATGCTGAATATGTAAGTATTCTGTAATTACATGCATTTGCTTAGATACCTAAGGATATTATCACAGTTCCATATTCTCACCTCTCTTTTCCTGCCACCTCTGTATGCAAGAGAAGGACGTACTATGCGTGTACAAATAATTGTATGTGATAGGAGCAAGGAAAGAGGCAGTGGAAGTGAATGCCTTTAAAGACTGGATGAACAGAGGTAGAAGTAGGTTCTGTGGATTTTAGACTTGGGAGGATTGCAGTGTCCATCAGAATAGGGACAGAAGTTGGCATTTTGTGTGCCGCTCAGAGCAGAATCCTTCAGATAATTTCTGGGGGCCTTGATTTGTTGCTGTTCCTTGTTCTACCTTTGTTGGGGAGCTGAGTCGTCTTGAACAGTTCTGTGCAGGTAGCCTGATGTCTAACATTTGAAGACCATAATAGCACTAGTGAGCAGAAAGGATACAAGCTGATGGTAGCAAAATATGTCCTGGAAATCTCTGTGCTCTTTATTTAGGAATTGCTAGACTGTAAGATGTAAAATAGTGTTTGTTTCACCATGAGTAACAATGTATAGTTGTAGTTTTAAGGAAGCTGAGAATGGTATGCTTCAGTTAGAAATCCAGACTTCTAGTGGTAATGGTAAGATGGTATCTTGCAATCTATAGCATTAACACAACATTAACCTTCTTTCCTGTTTTCCTCCAAATTTGAGTTAATAAATCATGCTGGACTCCAGAAGTATTTCTCCATTGCAAATCCAGACAGGGGTGTTTCTTCTGTGAGAAAGTGACTTCAGACTCTCAATACTGACACTTGTTATCTTAGTTCAGTTGTGTTCTTCCTTTGCCAAGTATTTCAGTGTATTCACTTTTTCTCAGTCAACTTATATCTGTCACGTGTGCAGTGGGAAATCTGATAGAAAAATAACACGTAAGGCATAATGAGAAAAGTGAATAGGCACAGGAGATTTTTAGGTCTCAAGTGTCACCATCTTAATATCTAGCATGAGAAATCAGGAGGAGTTTGGGTTTTTGGTGTGGGTTTTGTTTTTTTTTTTCCCCTTCTTACTAAGTCTCAAAGCCTGGCTTATTTTTGATTGTTAAACCAAACAACATTTTCAGTGAATGGTATAAATGTTAGATTAAATATCGTTGCCTGCATCTTCAATGGTTTTGTTTCCAGCTCTTAATAGTCACCATGGAGATAACTTTGTCTTTTGTCATGTTTCTGAAATTGACAAGGAACAGATCAGATTAGGCAATTAGTATTTCTGCTTCATGATTTAATGAAACTATTGTTAAAGACGACCTTTAGTCCCTTCCTGGTTCTAGGTATAATAATGCATATTGCTATATGCGTAATAATGCATATAGCAATCACTTTCAAATTGCTGCATTAAAATTTTTGAAAAAATCAGTAGTGGAGTTGGGGTGTTTTTAATTTTTAAGAGGCATATTTCAGTGGATTTTCTTTAAATTCCTGGGCAGCTCCCCTCTTTTTTTTTTTGCATCCAAACACACTGAAGTGTTGATGGGAAATGAGATTGTTCACACCTTGCCTCTTTTGGAAGTCACCCACCCACCCCCAGTAAATAAACTGTTTCAGCTACATGAAGAAATCTGTTAGAGATAACTTCTTTCAAGCATTTAACTCCAGCCAACCTCTTCTCTTTAACAGAGGTCATAATAATTTTCTTCCTCCCCCAGTGCAGCTGTGAGAACAGAGTATGAAGTAAAAAGATGTATTCCAGAAGTACCATTTGCAGTAAGAACAAAAAGAGATGTTGTAAAGTGGTGTCGGTTGAATTTCAAGATACAAGTACCTTATCATAATGTGTCAGTGAGGGTCAAAGACTATGAATCTATGAAGTAAAGTCTCTAAAAACAGTTGAGTTAGTTCCCCTGTCTAAACATGGGTTGTATGTCATGATATGATATGATACTATCCAGTGATGGCTGGAGGTTAGTGGAGTTCTCACAATACAAGTCTGAGTAATTAATCTTAAAAAGACAGAATTGCTGACCACCTGTCTTGTGAATGTCTCATCAGTCCTGTGCAGGCTCTAAGTCAGTTGGGTATCTCTCTTCCACACCCAAATCCCTACACTACAGATAGCACTGAGACAGGCAACCAACCGCATGTGCACAGGCAGGTATGTCAGAATAAGTGCGAAGTCACAGGTTGCAGTAGACTTCTGGAGGTCATCTTTCTCAATCTGCCTATTCAAAGTTGGTCACTAAGTCACATTGCTCAGCATCTTGTCCTGAGGAGTTCTGAGTATATACAAGGATGGAGATCCTGTGACCTCTCTGGGCAATCTGTTCCAGTGTTTGGTAGTTCTGTCAGTAATTTTCTTTTTTTCCCCCATAGTATCTAATTAATTTGCTGTGTTCCAAAACGTAACATATTCTGTAATAAAAGCAGCATGATCTTTTCCCAACAACCTCATGTGTATACTGATCCATAATGGAGTCAAATATGTATTTGGTTTGATTCTTATATTTAATAAATTATGTATTAATTACAGCAGAATTCTACAACTTCATGCTGATACGTGAGTAAGCCAACCTTTTGTCCAGTAAATACGAAATTAGAAATTAAAGAATTTTTATGGGATTACTGTGATAATCTGCTCAGGTGAGAAACATAGATCAAGACTTGTTTACAAATTGTCATTATTTCTGACATGGGGCCAAGTCTTCCATGTTCCAGAAGGATGGATTAGACTGTTAAATTTGAGAAGGGAAGGAAGAAGCTTGAATTCTACTTCCCTGAAGCCAACTGAGAAGCCTGTGTCTACTCACCTACTTCTGAGACAAAAGACAACAGTACTTTTTGGGATGCTCTGGTATGAACTGCATAAGATGTTGGTCATGGTTCACAGAATTACCTGGCAAGTGCCAGATTCACCGGATTCCTTTGAAGTGGCTCAGCAATTTTTATTCCTAGAAATACTGTCAATAAAAATCATAATAACATAGACAAAAGTACACTAACAGATGAGAATTCTGTTCTGCTTACTTAGTAGTTATGGATCTCAGTGTCTTTATGAAATATCCGTTAATTACCAAAACTAGTTCCTGCAGATACCTAGTTTGACATCTTCAGGGTTTTGATAGCTATTGACCAAGTGTGTCTCTCCCACTTGCATCTTTTGTGTTCATAAAACATTTGAGGTGACCTTAGAAAGTGGGTGTTTGCTTTTGGTTCTAAATAGCAAATCAGTTGCTCCTGTACATAGCTCTAATCTGACTGCTTGATAATAGTATTTTCTCAGTAAGATTTACATTTATTACGTACAGTTTTTGTCTTTGCCAACCTTTTAAAAACTTAAATTTGAGCTATTGCTTTCCAGAATACCTCCGGTTTTAGACTTCATGCATCTGCTACACTTGGGCAACTGCAGATAATTTTCAATACAACAGCTTGCAAATACATCTC